CTCGACTTACAACAAGTTCATTTACTGACCATTCAAAGTTACAATGGCACTGAAAAAAAAATGACATTTCAAATCTGAGACTACTTAAGGGCAGTGCAGACTATATACATGCAGTCCTTGATTTACGGTCAAAATTGGGGCCAGAAATTCTATTGCTAAGTAAAGCAGTTGTTAAGTAAGAAGCCACAGCCAATTTTACAACCTTCCTTTCCCACAATTGTTAGGCGAATCACTGCAGTTAAGTGAATAATACGCTGTTATTAGGCAAATCCAGGTTCTCTCCTTGATTTTGTTAATTAGGAGACATCTTGGAAAATCACACATAACCCCAGGACTCTGCAATAGCAATAACAATTGCACTTAGACTTATATACCGCTTCATAGGGCTTTCAGCCCTCTCTAAGNTTACAGAAACTGCCTCTCCGGTTAACCCTTGTTACATTGTAACAGCTAAGGCGAAGCGCCCATCGACATGAGTGATGTTGAGTTGGCCACGCCCACATGGTCACATGACCCCTGTGCCCCACCTAACCAGCTGGTCGTTAGGGCAGAGAACCGGTTGTTAAATTATTTGAATCCCACCACTGGTCATAAATCACTTTTTTCGGTGCTGTATAACTTCAAACGGTCACCAAACGTAATGTTGTAAGTCGAGGACTACCTGTATCTTGAAAAACTTGTCTTCCTCTTCCTAAAAAACACTCTGCTATCAGAGTAATAAAAGAAAACATTTCCAGTCGAATAGAAAATGAAGTCCGCCCTTTTTTTCCATAACATAAACACTTGGCACGGTTATTTAATCAGCTCTATCTACTGTTTCACCCCCCATTTCAGAGAGGTGAGATGGTAGTTCATCTTTTCAATCCTTTTCCACCTTGGTTAATCCCACAGAACCGATAGATTATGCATGCATATTTTCCAAAAAAGGTAAAGACGTCAAATCCTTTCTACAAGGAGATTTTGTCTGGATCTCTATTTTTATATGCGTGAAGATAAGATCTATCAAGTGCGGCAGATGCGATCCATAGTGAGCAAAACAAACATTTCCTAGCCCTACGGAGCTTTTCAATTTTAAGAAGATTCCCATTCATTAAAAATCATCCGGTTTGGCTTCTGTGGCAGGAAGAGCATCAAGACTTTTTTTTTAAAAAAAAATCTATCTTCTGTTTCCTCGGAGAAACAAAAAAAACTCATCTTTATAGCTGTAAAAGCATGTGACTTAAATTGCTATGCTGATGGTATTAGATAGCAATTAGACTTTCTCTGAGTGAACTGGCAGCCTAAACCCCCTTTCTAAAAAAAATGGGGGGAGTTAAATAAAAGAACTTGCTATTGTGAAACATCATGTATTTCTTGCTTTTGATGTGAGGTGTGTGTGTGTGTCTGGGGGGTATTTGCATGTATTCATAAACCCTCTGTTGCACAACCCCTGCTCTAAGTGAGAGAAGAGTGCTTGTGATTCTGTTTCTGAAGCAGTGTGACATCACTCCAGTATCGGTTTTCCCACAAAGCTTGCAACTCCCACAGCCAAGATGCTTTTCCTTACGCTCAGGTTGTTCACAGCTCACTGGAGAGCAGCTTGAAGGCTAAAAGAGTTCTGCCTTGTAGCTTTCCCTGTGTTGCTTTCTTTAAGGCACTGGTGAAGGATGGATTATTCTGAAGGCTGGTAAGCTATCGCATATTCTCTTTAACCCCAATAAAGCTCCTTCTTTATTTCCTTACATAAGCCGAGCCGTGTTTTAAACATCTAGTTGTATAAAATTGTCTCAGTTTTTACATTAAATAAGAGGGAAGAGCTTCCTTTGATTTCTTCTTTAGCTTTACTTTAAACGGTTTGCTGCTCTGATTCCTTCTTTAGCTGTAGTTTCTTGTTTGTGGGTCGGGTTTCTCATAGCTGCAAGGATTGTATTGCAAAAACAACATTGCTGTGTGGTTGAAAAAATCGTCAGGATAAATCTAGAGGGTGAATGCTGATGAATTAGATCAACATTGAAGTAGCTTAAGCAAAAGCAGTTTTAGAAATAGTACTTACTATGTGTTTGGTGTGTAGTAGTTACCATCTGGCCATTTCTTCCCATCCAGATTTGGTAGACGGATAAAGTATTATAACAACCACAGGAATTAGAAATTGTTGAGTTTGACACTTTGTATAGATTGTCAAGCTAGTATGCTACCATTGAAGTAGCAAAACAGAAATGGCAATAACCTTGAAAGGAAACTGCCTTGTTTCTATTACAAAGATAATAAAGAACAACATTTATTCTAGAGATTTTCCTGAAGACAATTTGGTCATTGTTCAAAGGGAGAGCAGGGAAATAATGACAGTATGTGACATCCATTACTAATAAATATATAGAATTGATATAAAGGTAGAATCTGAACACTGTTTGAAAGATCTTTAATTGTCTCTTATTCACCAAATGCATATTTTTTTTACCGCAGTTATTTCAGAGGCTGTTGTTTAAATGGTTTAGTATTTTCAGTGAGGCTTAATCCCCAACCCCACTTTTAAAAAGTATGTGTCTGTTGATTGATTTCCTAAATTTTTTGTTTTTGATTGATAGTTGTAGCATCCTGTTAGCTGACAGTTCTGGTAGCCTTTCTTCTAGAAATTCTAACATTTATATAAAAATGGTTGGAGATGATTATACTAACAAAACAGCATGTAGTATTTGAAACTGAATGTATGCTTCTATTTTAACAAATTTAGCAGGTATTTGAGCTCCTATCCCGTGATTTATAAACAGACCCTCCGTTTACTCAAATGATCAAACATATCACTTCTTGGAATGAAAAACCTTTACAGTGAAACAGTTTTTAATTGTATCGCCAGAGCAGTTGGGCATACAAAATCTTTCCATGCCAAAATTGTTTTTGTGATGATAGCATTATTTTCATATAAACATCACTTTAATTTAATGTGTTGACTTTTTTTTACCATTCAGGATGTCAGCATGTGTTACAATAAGGATAAATACATTTTCTTTCTACATCTTATTCAACTTGTTGCAATTCCTATGGCAGACAAGCTGATAATCCAACAAATGATACCATGGCAAGGGGAATTCAATCGTGGCTTGAATTCATAGTTTGATTAGGTGAATTTTATACTATGATATTAACTTGGTTTCAGAACAGAATCATTCCTTAGTGACTATTCTTTGATTCATTTTGTATTAAGGATTTAGAATTGCAAATTTTTGTGTAGTCTTTGTTCTTTAAAATAGTTGAAAATGCTCATTGGTAATGTATGGGGGCTTCTTCCTAAAATCACATTCCTTGGAATATATTAAAATGTTCTTGTTTTCATGTTTAGCATTATACTTACATAGACTTAATATTTCTCAAAACTTCTCCAATACTGTTGGTGTCATAATCATTGAAAGCATTTTCATTCCATTTTATCTTAATTGGTTCCATGAAATAGTGGACATCTGCTGTGGTGAAAAATGAAAATGAACACAGGGCATTATTTATTCTTGAGTCTCTCCCCATATCATCACTGAAGGAAGTGTAGCCCTCCAGATGTTACTGAACCACAATTCCCAGGGGTCTTAATTCGGCCTATCCAGTGAAGGGAGACGGATGCTGAGAATGATAAATTTAGCAACTTCTGAAGAGTCAGAAAGGGTCCTGCCCCTGTTCCCCATTCCCCCCACCTTTGGCAGTTCTGTATCAATCTAATACAACTTTAGCAGTAGCTTAGCTAAAATGGGAAAGTATGTGATACTAGATGGAGATAGATGAGATAGAGAGATGCTATTATAGTACCAAGTTCTTGTCCCGGGCTATAGCCACATTGTTAAATTATTGTATAAAGCACTATTCAAGAGAAGAACAGTGTGATTAAAAAGTGAGATAAATTGATGAATTTTCTAGAAACTCTTGTGGTGAATCTATGTAGGGACTTACTCCTGGGATTTGTTTATCCAGGTATTACATGAATGCATCGTGGCTTTAGCTTAGTACTCCTTTGTTTTCTAATAAAGACAAGGGTATTGTGTATTGGAAAGAGCTTCATGGCTTTTTCCATGGTTCTCCTGCACATCATAGTTATAGGAATGCTTTTTTTCATATTTATTTTATTTTTATTTCTGCCACATGTGAACTTAGAGCAGGAAAGATGCTTAGAGCAGGAAAGATGCTTCTAGAATCTACTAATTGCTGTACATCTCTAGAAATGTCTGGAGTATCTTGTATTCTCCCATTCTCGCACCTGAGGGTAGAACAAGAAGCAATGGGTGGAAACTAATCAAGGAGAGAAGCAACTTAGAACTGAGGAGAAATTTCCTGACAGTGAGAACAANTGGATTAGGAATGGGATGTCACTTACAGTAAGTTCATATGCGAGTAAGTTCATATGCGAGTGAAGGCAGGTGAGAGAATACTTTTGGCAATATAGTGTATATCAATGATGACGAACCTTTTCGGCACTGAGTCTCGAAACCGGAATGCATGGGGGCGCACATATGCGTGCATGCCAGAACACAAGAAATCCAAAGACCAGTATACACACTGGCCACCTGGCCTTCAGGTCTCCTAAGACAAGAAGAAAGTTAACCAATAATGTGGGGGGGAAAATGCCAAAACCAATGGGGCTCATTCAGTCGTAGCCTTGGAGACCACTCAAAAGTTCAGCAATTTACTGCAGTGGTTAATCATTCAGCTAATATGAGCTTGTGATTCATAAAATTGGGCACAAATGGACTCATTTTCAGCAGCCCTTTTGTTTCCTTTTTAGCATTATAGGCCTGAGAAGTTTTCAGGTATGGGATTTACTAAAATGAGAGATACTTTGCGTTACCTGTTGAGAATCTACTCTAGGATGCTCCAGAGAGACATGTTTTACATAGTCATTATTGTTTTGCACCAACATTTGCTGGGAATCTGGACAGGTAACACATTCAGACTCTTATTAAAAACAATTAAGGGTAGTTTTTTTCTTCTTCTAGTCTTGAATACCCTGCAGGTTCCTATGTAATTGAATATTCTGTTTTCAGGACTGCAGCAGCTATGACTTCAGAAGAAAAGAAAGAACGACCATTAAACATGGTGTCTGAAGCTGCACACTATAATTTGACATCAGATTACACAGCACATCCAATGAGTCCTCTGGGCAGAGTAAGTTATTGTATTCGGTATACATTATTCATTAGTACAAAATTATTGAGCTAGTAAGCCTAACGTGGTACGGAGGGACAATTATGTGGAGGTTGTAAGACAATCGATCTTCGTTTGGAAGTTTAAAAAAATTAAACAGCTTTTTTTAGATCCACGGGTCCGTTTATTGGGTTTGGTTTTTAAAAATAAATTGTTGCGTATTTTCTGTGAGAAAAAAAATTCTCTCAAGTAAAGGGCTGATCAAAATTAAATTGCATTGTACAGTCTACACCAGTGTTTCTCAACCTTGGTGACTTTAAGTCTGTGGACTTCAACTCCTATGTTGCTATGCTGGTTGGGGAATTCTGGGAGTTGAAGTCCACAGGACTTAAAGTCATCAAGGTTGAGAAACATTGGTCTACACAATATATATAAAATCCATCATGAATAATAATATTGTATTACACTTGCTGGTTTTTTAATTATAAATAACTTCATTATTAAAAGCCAATAAACAAATATTAGGACTGTGGAGCAGTTCACTTCTGGGAATAGATATACTTGGCTCGGTTTAAGTCCCCCCCCCTCCCTTTTTTTTTGCTTTCAGATCTAATGCACTGCAGAGCCCTACTAAGTGTGTGGCTAAAATGGATTCTTTTCTTATTTTAAAAAGTCACAGAGAACAGATAATCCTTTAATGGTTTTCTAATAAGCTATAATCATGATCTCAGTTGGTGGCCCATAAGGTACCAGGAGTTCTTACTCAACAGCTTGTGAAAGCAGCCTCAATGCAGCCTACCGCTGAGGCCAAGAGGTTAGGGAAAAAAGCCCTCCCGGATCACTTTCTGAGATAATGAAGAACACCACACAGCAGATTCTGTTAGAATAAATCATGCCATATTTTTGAGTGATTTATCCATATGGTAGAAGATGTCTGAAGAGGGTTTTTTTTTTTAATCTGCTAAATTGCTACTCTGAAGTGCAAACTTCATTTTTTTAAAAGAAAAAAAGAAGGAAGGAAGGAAAAAGAAAAGGAATAGATTATCCAGTTCCTGTTGGCCTTTCTCACTCATTTGTTATTACTGTTTCATTATATTTTTTTCTATATTCATTTTATTGGATTTCAGCCAAATACTTTGGATGCTGGAAGTGAATGAAAGAGAGGAAAACTCTTCTGTCCTTCTTCTTAAGCTGTAATTTTTACTTGAGACATTAATTGCATTTCTTTCCGAAACCTTACCTTTACAAATTAACAATGCTTTTCTATTAAGTGGGGTCAAAGTAAAAAAAAAAAAAAGGAAGCCATTTTGCTCCTCTACATGGTTGTGTATATGCATGCACATACACATACACACATGCTCAAACATAACAAGGTGGGTGAACATTTTCACTCTGCCTACTCTTTCGCCTCTGTGGCTCCTAAACAGGGCACAAAACAAACTGCAAGCCCTAAACCAAAAAAAGGTTTGCTTCCCTGTGTTCTACATAATATATACCATATTTTTCAGAGTATAAGATGCACCGTTTTCCCTCAAAAAAGAGGGTGAAAATCTGGGTGCGTATTATACGCTGAATATAGCATTTTTGGCCTACCAAAACCCCACCCCTTTTGCAAAAATGGCCGTGCATAGCCTTTAGGAGGCTTCCAGAGTGCTCCTGGGGGCTGGGGAGGGCAAAAATGAACAAACAATAGGCTGTTTCCCCCCCCCCCAGCCCTCAGGAGCACTCAATAAGTGTCCTAAAGACTATGTATGCCCCCCCCC